ATGCCCTAGCCTATCTACCATGAAAATATGAGCGAAATCGAATTTTCGACCGTTGCCGAGTTATTTTCCATTTTTATGGACAGGGACTCTTAAAAATTATATTTCAATTTTGATACTTTGAATTCCAGTTTGTCAAACTGTTCTTGTGTTTGTCGAAGGAGCCGTCGTGCCACTTCGAGGTCGTTTTGGATTGTATCTGTGGCCATTCCTTCATTGACTGCTGCTCCTGACAAGACAAATCAAATGAAATGCTTTAAAGAGTTTACCGGCCCAGGATTGGAACTCCCGCAGGGATGCTTTCAGCAGCTGATTCTCTTTCGTGGATATTTAAAACTAACAGTTGTTATCCAGTTACTAATTTCCTTGGTTCAATTATTGGTTGAATTGATGGATTTTTATCCTTTCCCATGCAGCCTTAAAAATCTAGTTCATTTTAATACTCCAACTAATTGGGGCCATTTTGGATTAAAGGAATCCGATATGTGGCCATACAAAAAATGGGCGACGGTTTAAGAGAAGGCTTCACGATTTATCAATACAGAAGCATTCATTTTAAATGTTTTACAGTAACTAGTCTTTTTAATCGGCGATAAGCAAAGGTTTTATTTGGGAGCTCAGAGCGCAAATTTTGCAAAGAAAACAAAGCTAATGATTTTTGTCCTTTCAGCGATAAAAGTCTCGAAACATTTTATCTGGATCGAAAAACTTTCGTTAACCCCACAAACCAAAAGTAAACCAGACTGTAAAGGACGAATAATATTAATTGAGATCTCTTGGGCATTGTAACCTTAATTACAAATAATTGTGAGAATTGTATAACAGGATTGTAATCTCCTTTTAATTAACCCATAAAATGTTTATCCTCACCTAATACTTTCTTTTGGTTAATCCCTCTCTTCCTTCGAATAAAGATGTCCCACAGGGTTCCAATCAGGAGCAATCCAGCTAATACGCCAAGCGATACGTACAAGAACTGCTTAATAAAGGGGGATGACGCGTCAAACAGATTGACATTTCCTGCAGGCTTCTGCTCTGTTAGCTTAAGTCAGAAAAAAACACCGCTATTCGCATCACTTATACATATGACCCTGATTTAAAATTGACAGAGTTCATGGAAGATAAACGAACTGCCACTGAATATGGCAGTGAGATAAAGTTCAACATTCCGTTGTATGAAATTTATGATTTTTGGCCCTGTTCATGATAGTTTCAAGGCTAAATCAAAAAGGGAGGTTGTGCGGTACAACTTGTATTTTGAGTAAACTCCGAAGACTATTTGTAGTTTGGTTCGAGTAAATCCAAGTCTTCACGCCTTTAGATTTCGTTTCATTACATGTAAGCAATTGGATGTCAGGCAATATCCCGGGCAAATGCAGAGCAGGAGAGAATGACAGACAAGAGTTCACTTACAAACCTTGTTTTATAGTCAATTAACGTTACCTTGTATGTATCGGTAAAGATTTGAGCTGACTTGAAAATGTTTGCTCGATGATAATTTATTAAGCACTCAGCCAGATACCATCTATCTTGGGAAAACAGAACTCCAACGTCCCTTTGAAGTTCTAACTTCTTGACGGTGATAAGTGATTTTAATTTGCCCATTGACTGATAATAGGAAGCTGTGAAGCGGTCCAGTAGCATTCCATCTACTTCCTTTGATTTCACAGCTTGAATGACGTCGTCAATACTGGAATACACTAAATACAGGAAGAGAAAAGAGAAGATTTACCAAGGTTTTCAAAAATAGGAGTAAGAATGTCAGTCTCATACTTAAAGATTTGTGATCTTAATTGGGATTCTTTGTTAGCCTTCTGGTTGTCTTCAGTCTACTATTACTGTGTTTTTTTCTTTTTCTTGTGCAAAACCGTTGCCTTCTTGTAAACACTGACGATCCGTTAATAGGCAATGATTATAACGGTACCATTCTCATCTGAACCACACCCGGCTGAAATATCGACATCAATTTGCACCAACCTGATAGATCAGTATCTTCCTCCAGTGCATGCTGGTATTCCGTACCATTGCCCAGCACTGCAACCTAACATGAAATATCAAAGTTAATGGGTAAATGACTCAGTTGATACCTGTAGTAACACGGGATTAAATTTCGGCATTGATTTTGATACTGAGACAAACGTAAGCTCGATTTCTGCCATCTCTCGAGTCTGATCTTGTTTGAATTGATTACTACATGATTTATAGGAACAACAGATATTTCGACAAACCTTGACACCGACAAGGTCAGTTGGTTCCAGTTGCAAGGAAAGAGCTGTAAGTGCAGAGGTGATGTTCGCCATGAAAATCGCCATGATAATGAGACCCAACAGGATCCAGATGATTGAGAAAATTCGAGCCACGATCGACTTTGGAGCTTTGTCGCCATATCTTTTACAGAAAAAAAAGGCTATTAATTTTTGATAGTATTATATGAATTAGCCAGTGGAATAAGCGTTGTTAAAGAATTATCAGCTGAAACATTTCACAAACTTATCGGAAACAAAAATAGTATAAACGGCTCGTATTAAATAATGAAAGTAGACAGTAAATAATCCAATATGAGCGTTTTAATCGTTTTTGTTGTAATTGTATTTTTCATCTGAGAACTGCCGTGAGAATTTGCACTTGTCCGTCCAACGCTCATAATCTGAGTACTCCAAATTATTGATGTCAGCCTGGTCGATAACTAAGTTTCCAATGAAGAACACTTAAAGATCAGTTTGATAAGTTCTTACCCCACCGTTGTCATGGAAATAAAGGACCACCAGAATCCATCCCAAGATCCTTTGAAGAATGAACGAGGAAACTCCTGACTGTTCCAGTAAGTGTCCTATCATTCACAGGTGAAATAAATAAAAATAAAAATGTCAGAGTGACAAGATTATTTTCTATGATCTCGTTTGATTTTGGATATAGTGATAACTCAAAGAATAATCACTCTGTGTGTATAATCTGTACATAATTAAATATATCGGGTGTTCCATATTATATGACAGAGAAAATTACTTCACTGTCTTTAGCTGAGAGCAATCCAATTTATGGATAGTTTTTAGTTTATCCTACATTGAAAATTATCACTTGCGTGTTCGTAATTTTCTCAGGCGCAATTAAAAAGCAAGTAACAGTATGAAAACTGAAGAAATTAACCATATACAGTACCTGTCGTATTATCATTATTTGCACTCGGCTGAGAGCTGGCGCAATTTTGAGGGATTTTTTAAATATCACCTCTACTGCAGATCTGTAAATGCACTTGTATTTATACGATGACCTATATTAATCTAGTTACAGAAAGTTAAGCATACCAGCGCCCACATAATGACTCCAGCAATGGCCGTGAGTATCAGAGTCACCGCAAACAATGACCAAGACTCCAGCACTGCGTCGAAGACAAGACTGAGCTTGTTGGCTTCATCTTCACTAGTGATGTATTCGCTCCCTGGATAATCAGTGATTTTGAAAAAGGAAAATTCGTCGTACCGTCGGTTTATGGGTTCGAATATAGGAGAAGCGACGTGGACTTTGTTTTGCCTTAGAAGCTCAATCATGTGAAATTCACTGTCAGCTCGAAATGTTTTCACTTGGTAGTTAATGTCTGCATAAAAACCGCATTCTACTGTTATGAACCGCACGAGGACGTCCCTCAGCATACCATGGGCCTCGTCGTCAAGTGATCCATTGGTGGGCGATGTTGTGTATGGAGGCTTTTCAATCCAGGCTATTATCAGGTCAATAACTGGCCAGTCTTTCTCATCCTTTTCGTCTCCGTCTTCATTGTTAGATATGGACTTGTTTCCAGTCGCTGAAATAGTTCGCAACTGAATAGCACCAATGACAATCACCGAGAGCACTTTGATCCATGTGCTCTTCATCGTTCTATATATGCAAAAAAGATGTTCCTGATAAAACATATACCGATATCAACGGGTGTGGCACTGATGGAAAACAGAATCTCAACATCTGACTACTGAAAATTAGTCATACTGCCCATAACACAATATAAGCAGCATCACTTGAAATGCAAGCATAGACGCTGACACTCAAAGATGTCTTCAGCATTAGTTTCCCAGACAAGTACAAAACGAACAGGTATAAACGGAAAAAAAGAAAAGAAGTTTGTATGTTAAGTTTGTAAAGAAACCCGACTAATTCAATGTCGCTCAAAAAGTGGGAAAAACAACGAAGAATTCTGTAGATAAACATGAAAATTGACTTGAGCCTCATGTAAAAATGCCGTTGCTATGGTAATCTTGAATGACATGCAGAAACAGTTAATACGTCAAAACCTCCAAAACATTCAGCGTCACATGGTAAATCCTGTTATCAAAATTCTGGAAATACCTCTGGGCGGTAGCACCCAATTCTCCTCCCTCAGCCCCTTGAAAATCCGAGGGTTATTATTATCACTAACTAGATCTTAATTAACATCAGCCTTCATAAATGACAGACTACATAATTTCTCTTACTAGAAAATTCGATTTGGACAACATAGCAGTTTAGCTTTAATAACCAACATTTCAAAATATGGAGCAATGCCCTTTTCAATGATTTTACAATGCACCATTTACTTTATACTGTTTGTAAATTCTCAACACTTAACATTATTTTTTTTCTTTTTATTCCATCTTACAGCGGCAGATCTAGGGGAGAAGTCTTTCCCCCCCTCCCCCCTTATTTTGGGTGAAAGAAGAAGAAATGACAGAAGGAAGAAAAGCCGGCAGGGCAAGTAAAACAAAACCGGGCCCCCTCTTAGCTCAAGGTCTGGATCCGCCACTGTCTTAAGAACAGTGCACATTTGTACTTCGACCACCTCCCGAAATATCTCGAATGTAATTTGCATTCGTACAACCGGTACTCGTGTAACACTTTTCTCCACTTGTATTTCAGGAAAGCTGCACTGCACTGTCAGAATTCAAGATATATTTTTAAAAGCACATTTCATATACGGGTCATGCGGATGAAATAAACTTTACATTAAACATACATTGCTGGTGCGTTTGCTACAAAAACGTTTAGGACTCACTGCCACATTTCGCTTGACATTTCAATCAAAAACCTCTCGTATCTCCTAGAGTTTCTGAAGAATCAACCTTGGAAATTGTACCGCAATCATATTAACACAACAGGGCGCGTACATAGGATTTTCTGTTAAGCTCACCTCTCTTACACGATATGTGGTGTTACGGCACGTTCAAACAAAAATATCGGATGTGTCAGCTTTTTCAGATCTTTTCAAGAAACTCTCATAGTTACTTTCTGGTAGATTCTGGTATCAATCTTTAATACAACAGCTGGTCTCAAAGATAATGGAATTGAACTTCTTCAGATCTCCACTTGAAGGTCATGTGACCTATCGCGTGCACATGCTAAATTTAACAAAATGACGTCAGTTTTTTATGCGTCTGTCCTCCTATTGATGATAAATTGCGTCATAACATTGTCAAAGTGACTGTGGAACCACGAGCCGCAGGCGAGTGGTTCTGCAGTAAGCTTTGACGATGTTATGAAGAAATTTATCATCAATAAGAGGACAGACGCATAAAAAAAACACTGACGTCAATTTGTTTCTTACAATAACAAGACCCCAAAGTGGTCAAATGTCGGGAATAAATGAGGGGAAAAGACGCCGTAAACTTGCCGTAAACAAAGATAAGTGAATTTTATTCAAAATGACGCGAACATTATCAATAGCTTTTCTCGCTTTTTGATTGGCTACTTAAAAAAAGTCCATAAAATCTCATTGGTTAAAAAGCTGACAGTTTGACACCTGAAAGTTGAACTTAAAAGCTTGTGTAAATTAAAATTTTATCCGTCTGTACTCTTACTGACGATAAAAGTGAGCCAATCAGCGTGCGAATAATTGGACAGTTATTGTAAAAATACATTTTAAATTCTCATCCATTTCTAACTGAGCTCGAAACTGTCCAATACCTGATAAAGCGCACCCTTCTCTCCAGACCCCATCCTCGGAAACTCAGGGGCAGCTAGTTGGGACGACGCGATATTTTCCGAGGAAGATATTTTCGGGCGAAAGTTTATTACATCTTAATGTAAACTTTCACCCGAAATTATTGCTTTTCGCGACTAGCTGCCCCTGGGTCTCTGACGATGTCCAAACCCGAAACCTCGATTTAAATCCAACACATTTTGCTGAGTGCTACAAGTTTTACTCGCCTCAGCAAGATGGCAGATCGCAAAACTTATGACTTGTTCCCAGTACCCATTGATGCTTTCACAGGAATGTTCAGGCGTCGGCATAAGGCGATATAACGATGACGCCATCGCCTAGAAAAGTTGTTTATAATTAATGCGTGTAAATAATATTTATGCAATTATCCAAGAAAGATGACCTTATAGTTATTGAGCCTCAAACCGACTGATTTTTATTCCAGAAATGCTTTTAACACATTCAAAACTTGGTGGAAATGGGAGATTGTTCGCTACACCTCGTGTATAGAAAAAAGAAAATCTCGAATTGAAAATAACATCTTAATTTTGGGATAGACTGATACATTTATTTCAAGTGCTTATGAACTTGCCTTAACAAAATCAGAATGTTCAACTAGATAGATCAAGTCCCACTTTTTACCGCTACAAACGCGACGTTTACTTTTTGCACATGGATCAGAAAGTTGAAAGTTTATTTCTTTGTTGCCTTGTCAACAAAATGGCAAATACTAAATTATGCACAAAGCGGAAAACGGCACACAGCAGGCAGGACCGTTATTTTCAGTCCACGGGATGCCAATATGATATTAATCTGTACTTTCATGCGGAGAAACTAATGAAGCAAGTAATCTACAAACAGCTGTATGGAATGCAGAAATTCTACAGACTACCTTTACACTAATTAGTAAGAATCTCTAATACTAAAAGATCCTGACATAAACTATAATTCATGAATGAGTAAGAATTTGTTCCTTACTCATGGCCGAAACAAATTATTTTCTGAATCAGTTTACATTCAAACGGAAACATTATTTCATCACACGTAAATCGAAATAGTGTTAATAACATTCTCTTGAGCAAACAAATTACCATACAAATTACTTTAGTTAATTTGAATTTTGTTCAGTGACATTCATATTACTTGTTATCTAAAGATTCAAAATTTAAAAAATAGAGAAACTTGGTCAGATACCTATTCTAGATATAGTAAACCAGAAAAAATAAAGCCTTTTGAAACGTTGTAAGCATGCATGGGAGCCATGCAGCTATCAGTGATGTTTGTCATGTTGAGAGAGCTGCTTCAACTAAGTGTCCCGAAAATGTTACCTAACGGCATGATAAAGGGAAATAGAGAGTCGACGAGATTTCACTATATACAAAGGTCAAACTCTTAGCTTCTTACTTTGATAACAATGTTATCAAGCTAGTGTTACCAGTTCTGACACGAAGAAAACGACTACCAGTTTTAATTACGTGGGTCCTTTTTGGAAATTGAAACGTTCTAATGATGGCTTATTGTTTGAAACTGTTTTAAAAGTGAATAATAATAAGTGAGATCTTAAGAGGTACGATGTTCCACAAACCTTTCAATGATGTTACAATTGATGTATGATATCAGGCTTTTCCGGTCATCGCTGGTTTTCGTACAGAATTGAAAAAAAAATAATAAATAAACAAATCCTCTCCTTCCAAACGACATTTGTTGTTGCACGTTTGCCTGGGAAATTAATGCACCAAAACTCACACAAAGATTTCAAATATAACTCTTTTTCAAATGAAGAAAAACTTGCAGCAAGATCTTAGTTTTTCCACTTGCCAAATTCAAATTTAGTTGGGCTCCCTTGCTCAAAAATTGTGCTAGATTGTATCTCGATACATGTATACGCATGTATCTCGGGATGGTATTAACCCAGATTTCTACGTTGAATTATGGACAATTTTTTCAGGCTCTTAAATGGCTCATATTTTGAAACTTACCGTTTAATGACCTCTTGTTTGATGCTTGTGTTTCACCTCGTGGAACGGAAATTGGTCTTCTTCTGTCTTCGAAAGACCCTCGCTAATTCACCCGAAGAGCGTATCGGTAGAAGGCGATTACCGCTTTGAAAGTCACAAAGCCAAAGTTTTTGTTTATCGCGAGAAGTCACCTGCCAACTTAACCCCTCTTGGCTCAACTCCATGAAAGGAATTAATATTTTATCGGAGAGCATGAAAATGAATATCATTTTACTTCTTTGAGATCCGAAATCACCAAAAGAGGAAGTTCCTCTTTTGGTGATTTGGATCTCAAAGAAGTAAAAGGGAAAACTGGTTTCTGAAAATTGAGTCACTAGGACTGGGAATCAGAAACCATCAAAAAACTGAGTAAAACGTGGGGTGTTAAATGAGATTTGGGAAAAATACAGGCTGGAAGATAGGATTTATAACCACTCCTGTCCGCACCCTCACAAAAGAACAGATTTCTATGTTCAGTCTTGATTCCTTTGGCTATCACAAACATGGAATATGGGAAAGATGTCCTGCAGAAACCACTCAGAAGATATCTTCGCTATCAAAGATAAAGTTAACATGTCCTGGCCTTAATGTTTCTGCCGTTCTTGAACGTTGTCGCTAGGCTACGAACATGGCCTGTTATTATAACATAGGCCCCACAAAAAATTAAATGTCCTAGCTTGAGGTTCCAGCCAGGCCTTTTTGCAAGATGGGCATTACCTTTGAGGGAATGAGAGGGGTGCTGCCTTGAATGCACAATACAAGGGCCACATTTTTGGCCTTCTAAGAGCAAATGTCACCAAACATCGAGCAAAATTTAAATTTGGCGGCAGAAGTCGAAAAATCAATTTTATTCTTTTTTCGTCCACAAATAGTCTTAAGGTAGATATATATGAAATGTAATGTAGTTTTTTTTTAGCTCGAAGCGCTTTAAATTGGAGAAAATCGAGAAAAACTATTTTCGCCCAAACGGTCGCCAAAATGACCGATCGCAAAGACCGAAAATTAGAAATCTAAACTTAATTTGCGTTCGCGTATAAAGAAGAACCAAAACTTATCGATACTTTTTTCTTAAAAGACAAAGTATTATGCTATCAGGAACAAGTTATAACAAGACTTGAGCGCCATTCGAGGAAAAAAAAACAG